CGCCATCTTCTGTCTTCGATATAGCTGATTCGTTCGTTGAGCTATACGTTTGCAGTCGAATTCGCCAACAAAAGAGAAAATAATCTTTGTTATCCATAAGCTTAAAGCCAATAAAGCTGCGGGCGAAGATGGTTTTCAAATACTGATATCCTTTATTATATACCTTTAATGAATGTATGGAAGAAAAAAATACTGCCAAAGTAAGACTGTAGCAAAGTAATTATGTTCCCCATTCCTAAGAAATGTGGCAGGACATACTATAAAATCGAAGAATCGACCATCTCCTGAAAAACTTTTGCTTCCTTTCTTATGGCAGTACGAGGCAACAAGATACTCGTCTTAACTAAGCTTGATTCAACACTACGAAGCGGTTGTGGTGACCAGATATTCACATCTTTCTAACCAATTCAATTGATAAAGCAATGCTTTGGAGGGTAATGGCATATAACGGTGTTCTAGAGAACACCATTTGCCTCAAAAAGGTGTATCAACGTATAATCGGTAAATAGAGAGTATATAGAGAACTGACAAATATTTTTGAAATAAAAACTGTTGCCAATCCTGTGTTCTTTCTCCTATGCGGTAAACTGGATAATGGACACTGTTTCTTGGTATTCAAGAGGTGTACAAATCAGCCAGGAGGATCGTATCATAGATTTTGAATAGACTAATGATGTATTCTTTTTTGCTGACATTTATGACGAAATGCAAACAATACTAAACAATGTATCAGCAGTTGTAGCGAGAATAGGATTCAGCATTAATGCAAATTAAACGAAAGTTTTATTCATAAGAAGTTGATAAAATACCCATTTTTTGCAGGTTGAGGCAGGAAGTGCCAAACTTTAAATATTTTGGATCCACTCTGATCTCAAATGGCCACATAAAGAATGAGAGTGAGGCCAGGATAATGGTAGCTAAAAATGTATATTTCCACTTGATGAAACCTTTATGGAGCCGATATGAAATTACCATAAAAATAAAAGTCCGTGTCCAAATGGCTGCAGTTTGCTCTATCTTGCTGTGGTTGCGATATATGGCCAATGGGAATAGAGCTGATAAGATCGTATATGATTTCATCAACCTTCATTCAAACACTACTTGCTTTATCAATCACAAAAACACCATTCGCTGGTTAGTATATTTTCTTCATTACTCACTATACATATAACATTATTTGTTCCGACGGAAATGGAAGACGAGAAAGATTTCTTGAATAAAGGCCAATAATATATGGACTTCCTTTATTGAGTGTCTTACATTTTTGTTATCTAATGATATATATATTAAGTATAATTTTCGTGGATCAAAATCGAATATCAATCCTATTTTTATTTTCTCGCAAACGTAACATCCATTGACTTCTTTACATCTTCTAAAACAATCTTATCACCAATTATATTCAACTATATGCGTAGAATAACTTCTATTGCATAGCTCCGAGCAACAAAATATTTGGAATTTTGCTCCTCCTCAATAAATTATTTTCATACCTCGAGGCATATAGGCATATTGCATTAGCTTTCATTGATTTCAGCCATAAGTAATAAGATTGGAAAATAAATAGGAATTTTACAAAATTCTTAAGTTCTATTTTCCGGTTTGAAATTAATCGACTAAAATGAAGCGCTGATAAACTGAAACTAAAAAAACTCTGGCAATTCAGCACTTTCGATTGCTCAAACTTTTTTTAAAGGTTAATTTTTGAAAATATAACTTCGCTAAATATCAATTTCGGAAAAATTTCGGTTAAATCAAAATATTAACGACTTGGAAAATGAAATTTTATTTAAAATTAATGAAATATTTTGAAAATTCTTTCGTTTTAAAATGGATCAAAATTTTATTGAGACGATTTGACATTTGAATGTTCTTTATGGCTGACAATGGCCACAAGTTGAACGGCATTTACCTCTCATTACAGTTGCATAAGGTTCTATTGTGCAGTATTTTCTATTTTCTGAACATTGCCCGTCGTCGTCGCGACAATTTGATTGTGCTGCTGTTGCATTTTGATTTTCTGAAATGCTAACTCGTCAGTGACAATTCACTACTGTATTCTTCCAAGTATTCAGAATGATCAGTTATGAAAATAAAAATAAATGGCAGTTCAAATAATTTAATAGTTTTTCACTGCAGATTTGTTCCATCGGCCAAAACCACAATTAAGTTGTGTTAAATTTACCTAGACAAGTTCTTAATCCGCATGTTTTTTGACAAGAATTCTTCGCTTTCTCATCGAGGCAAATCACCGGCGCTAGAGCTGTGCAAACTGCATCGTCAAATGTGTTTGGGCAGGTGCCACCTGCTCCTGGTTGGTCACAAAGTCCACATTTCATTGGACAACTCCTTAATGCTATTGTCCTGAGGGCCGAATTCCTGCACATCTCCAGTGTAAAAGCATCACAATGATTGCCTGCGAATGGATCTGCAATGAATAAAATAAAGTAAAAGTCTTTCTTTTTATGAAATAGCAATCAAAATTTATATTCTTAAATTATCAATAATTATCAATAATTAAATTATAAATAATTTTATTCACCGTTAGCACAGTTGAATTGTTTTGCTTTGCAGCAGAATGCACAACGACTTGGGCAATTCTTTTCTGCAAACGCTTTGAGAGGAGGTTGTGTGCATGGATCGGGTATCAGGTAAGATGCGGCTCTATGAGATGCGATCGCTGCCGCTGCATCGTTGTATGGAAATATAGCAGCACAGGCAGGTAAATCGATGTGTGCACAAAGGCCTGGTTCGACCGTTGGTCGTTGTTGTCCCCCTACTTCTTTATTACAATCTTCTATCGCCTTATCAACAGCACTTTTTACGCCATGAATAAGGAAAGCGAAGCAACAAATGGAGAACAGCATTTCAGAAAAAAAAGGTTTTAGAATGAAATATTAAAGCATCAAAAATTCTTTTATATCCCATTCATTTTCTTTTTTGGAAGTTGTGTGGGTAGATTATCGTTTATCAAAATCTATTACGTGTGCCATTACGAATATTTATTCATCTGCTATTACCGATTCGTACTTGAAAAGATTTTCTCATTACCTATTACAATTATTTTCTTTATTCCATTTTAAGTTTTAAAAAAAATTGAAAAATAATTTGCAAATCATTTCCTAATAATTGCTAGAAAAACTCTGTATTTTATCGTTATCTCTACCTTATCTTTGTTTTTATCATTTTTTCTTATCATTATCATTATCCGAGATTTTTCATTCAATGATTGAAACATTTTAAAACATTTTAATACCCAGGAATTGCAAATGAATTCATTCAAGAGATCTTTCATCGAATTATTAACTAGAAGTGTAGCCTTTTCTTCAACTTAGATTCTATGGATCTTTTTGCTCATTTTTACCAGTTTAATCTTAAATTGCTTTATATTGCCCAATAACTAATAAAAATAAGAAGGAAAGCTTATAAAGGGGATAGAATTTTATTTTTTACAACTATTGATGTGAAAATTTTCATTAGTTTTTCCAAATTTATTTCTGAAATGCAAATTATAATAAAATAAAAAATTTATAGGAAATGATATTTGTATTCTCATATTTTCTCCGAATATGAAAGTCTCAAATATTATTTTTTAGTACATTTTTATTTCTCAAATATTTTTGTATGCTTCAAATTTGAATTCCATTATTTGTGAAAAATATTTTATCGTATATCATTTCATTTTATGCTAATATAAAAATTTCAAATATATTTTAATAATAACTTGTTTTGGTGCGAATATTTTCGGAAATAGGCCATATTTCATCTTTTGCGATTGGGCTAATTATGAATGACGTTGACGATCTATTTGTCCTTATGCGGCCCACTGGAGGCCAAATAAAGCAAAGATAATTTGGACAAAGAGACAAATTGGGATAATTTCAATAATATTTGTTTAAGCAAAAAATATTTGTTTTTTAACTCGTAGAATCCTATAATATTTGATCGCCACTATGAAAAATTATCGAAGTGTCGAAGAGCGATTCGATTTGTTTGTTCCGGAAGTGCGAAGTGTTAAATGGATTTTCAAAATACAGAAAACCAGAAAAGCTGATAAAACATCGATAGAAATCATTGTACAAATATGTCTGACATAATATTATTAAATGAATATTATTTTTATTTCAACAGTTTAATCAACGGCAAGAAGAACAAAAAATGGATCGGTGTAGTTATTTTGATTTAATCTGCATCGAGCATTAAAGGTTTACATTCCCTCCTCCATAAAAGTCAAAGTCATTATAAAAAGTATAGGTCATAGTGGCGAGCGATCTAGATATGCTTCCACACTAGATTTCGCCTCTTGAAAATTATTTCTGGCATTGATAGGAATCATTAGAATTAACTTAGGTACCATTAGAATCAACTTAGCCTATTTCATTACTGGATCAAAACCAGTTTTCCATTTCGATACAAATTATGCTTTTTGTTCCATCGATTTCTATGCCTTAATGATATTGGGGACAATAAATATATATAAATAAATATTTATTTATTATGTATATTATATATTATATATTTTTATTTCACTTATAATTTTTATAATTTATAATTTTATAATTAATTTTATTTTATTTTTATTGTTTTATTATTTTATTTTGAAATATTATTTTAATATTATTATTATTATTGAAATATTATTATTTAAATATTATTAAGAAAATTGTCAAGAAGCTTTATAATAAAATGCCAATTGCCAACATAAAGCGATTAACTACCATACCTATGTTGGTCTAGAGCAACATGTTAAGGTCGCCACTAGGTACAACATATATTAGGTGTTGTGTTAGCTACCTCTACCTCTCTTGTTGATAGTATTAGAGTCTTGGAACCTTTTTGTAATAGTGATCACAATATCATTCATGCTTCATTAAAATTAGACCGTTATTCACCTCCCTCGAGATTTTCTAGAAGTTACCGTCACTGTAATTATGAAATCTTTAACTCTATCCTCGCAGAAATAAACTGTGATTTCTTATTCTGTTTAACTCCCTCTATCGATGAAAAAGTTAATTTTCTTAATAGCAACATTTTATATCTAATAGACCAATATATCTCTTTAAGAAAAACGAACCCACTTAGGTCGATTCCCACTTTTCAAAAATCCTTTAAGAAAATTGTCAAGAAGCTTTATAATAAATATCAATTAACCAAATTGCCAAATGACCTCTCTGCATATAAAGAAAGCTTAAAAAGTTTCCGCAGCGCCATTCATAATTACTTTTCAAATAAAGAAGAACAATTTTTAAATATTGATAGAAATTCTTTCTGGACCTATATCAAAAGAAAATTTGCAAATCCACGTAAACAATTAATTCTGCAACATAATGATAATGTGATCACCTCTGATATTGATATTGCAAATATATTTAATCAGTTTTTTTCTAGGGTGTTTACTGTATATCAAAAGAAAATTTGCAAATCCACGTAAACAATTAATTCTGCAACATAATGATAATCCGATCACCTCTGATATTGCAAATGTATTTAACCAGTATTTTTCTAGTGTGTTCATTGAGGATAATACTCATACTTCCTGTTTTAACGTAAATCGAATTTGTTGCACTTAACTCTGCCAGGTTGAAATAACACTACTGGATGTTTATAACGCCTTAAATTGACTTAAGCCATCCATTTCAGCTGGTCTCGATAATATTCCACAAATAATTTATAAAAAATGTGCAGACTCTCCGAGTCTTCCTCTATTTCTAATTTCTATTTCTAATTTATAAGGATATTATGAAATCTGGCCTTAATCCCAAAATTTGGAAATTGTTTCATATAATTCCCATTCATAAAAAATAAGCACCTGTGATTCTTCTAATTATAGGCCAATTAGCCTAACATGCGTT